TGGACATAAAAAAATAAATCTGCTTTGGATTTACTTTGCAGTCCCGGAGCTTCCGGAAGCTCCATCCTTTATATACAGACTATGACTATCACTTGTCATATTTCATGTTTCTTGAAGTTCAGACACGATTTGTGTAACTGCGAATCAAATGAGAAACCTTAGTTATTACAACAAGTGCTTATTACATTGAGCGTTGTTTCTGATGTCACTAGTCAATCTTCTCATGCCTTTCCTATCAGCATGGACGCCTATGAGAACATCCGTTACTGGGAGCAGGTTCATCACCCTCACACTCCGGAGATGATGGCCGAGGAGAAGCAGAAGAAGAGGAGGAGGAACTTCCGCCTGGTGGCGTATTGTGTCGTCGCTATGATGCTCAGCATAGGAGCCCACGCCGTCCTCTTCAAGTAAAAACCCCACACACAATACTGACTGAGCATTCAGCATTTTGTCTTTAAATTTAAACTGTAAATATTAGAAAGAAGTGTGCATTTGGTAAACTTCCTCTTGCTCACACCCTGTCCTTCGTTGTTCACGCTGTGTCCTTTTATTTGCTACTCATTCACATCCAGATGAATGAGGAATGTTGCGGACGTTTCTCAGTGCCGTGTGTTGGCACAACCTCCCAACTCGCGGCCTTGAGTTTGCTTTCACATGGTGCCACATGTGTTTGTTGAGATTCACTTCTTTGTGATGTGAGCAGCTCCTCTAACAGCTGTACAAACCCATAAATAAAGAGCGCTGCTGAGTTCTTAGGTTAAGCTCTCTAAAAGGGAATTGTCTACCTCCCTCTGATGCTTTCAGGAAACTGGAAGAAGTTCACACTAACTTCATGGATGAGAAAGACCGAATCATCATAGAAATTTACAATGAAGCCAAAGAGAGGGCGAGGTGTGTGCACTGAGCTTCAGATTCCTTTTTTCCCGCTGCTTCTCTCTGATGATGCGTTTGTTGTTCTGATGCTGTTTCATTTGCGGTTTTTCAGGGTCAATGGTTTTAAGAAGCAAACGGAAATCCTGCGTCAGAAGCACGCCGAGTTTAAGGAGAAATACAAACGCACTGACGTTGGAGACGACAAGTAGCAGATCCTTCAGCTGTGCTCAGTGATGCCAGCAGGCGGACCAAGCTGGCTATTGTGTTAGTTTTAAGATTATAAAGTTTTATTTTCTGACCTTTTTAAACGGGTTTCCACGCCTGTTTCTGCCCTCACATGTGATCCTGAAACCTGCAGGGAGTGGGTGTGGTTTAGGGAGAGGGTCCCTCTGGTCATTGATGCGAACCAGGATAAGCTTTTATATTTTATGGGACTCGTTTGTTCCCAAACCTGTTCACGGTTTGTCCACAGGAGCTGTAATGAGCTCTATCAAACTGCCCCTAATGGAGTCTCAGGAACTCGCTGTTTGCTGTTTATTGTTCTCAGCCTCATTTCTGTTACAGCTGTGCAGCATCTGGAACTCACATGTGACGGTGAATAATACAACATGACAGCTGATCAAGTTGTGAAGAGAGACTCTTATTTGCAGCAATGTTTCATGTTGTTTTAAAAGAAAATGTCTTTGAGCGCTCAAGTGTGGACGCTGCTGTTTAGATTGGTTCACACCTGATATATATTCACAAGTGTTTGATTTTTGGACTTTCTGCACTTCCTGCCAACAAATATCGATTTGTTTGACACAGAAAATCTGGAGAAAAAAGTGCCACTGAGTAAGTTATTTATTGCAAACTGTTGTAATATTATGGAGAAATGCATTTAAAGGAAAGATCACACACATGAAGTGAGCCAACATTTACCATTTTGGCCTCTCAGTCTTTATATATTATAATGTTTTGTGTTTTTGCTGCCTTGTTGAGTCCCTCTTGGGACATCTGAGAGAAAGCATTAAAAGATCTCATTAACCATCCTTTGCTTGATTTCACTTTACTTCTACCTGCTCCTTGTTATTTAATGTCTTGCTTATTACCATTTCTTCCCACAGTGTCATTTGTTTCCTGTTACCTTTTAACGAGCAGCAGAGAAGAATTGGTAATGATCCAAATAGATAATTATTTATCTCAGATCTTTGTTTTCCATCACATCAGTGAAAGTGAATCATACATTTTTAACTGAAACTTAACCGTGAAGACAGCAACGCAGTTATGTTTATTTGCATGTTTGCTTTTAAAAACAAGAGAATTTTCAGTGATCATCCAGGAAAGGCGACACCCATTTATGAAGTCAAGGCTTGGATTCTTTCCTTCTTTCTTTTTATTTTTGAAGGAATTGTGTGGGTGTGTAAAACCCTGCATCTACAGCGTGAAGTTTGTTTTTACGAAAGGATATCGCCCCTTTTCCCTCTGTTTTCTTGTCACCAGCGGCCCCTGCCCTGAGACGTCAGCAGGAGATAACATACTGTGTCCCCGCATAGCTCTCAGACACCCTCACCCTCATGTGGCGTGTGAGTACCCTGTCATAACCCAAACACGCCATAATGACTGAGATCCTCGTGTCAGCATGCCTTCACACACACTGATAGGAGATGAGGCTCAAGAGTTTTCCTGCTAGAGAAGAAAACGGCTCTGCATGCAGTTTTAATTGACTTTTATCTTTAGTTTAATGAGCTGCTGTGTAGAATCATGCTCTGAAATAAAAGCGTGACATGCTCTTTGGAGATTATTTTTTATTGATTAGCTGGATGGGAGGGGCTGAAATGCTTAATTTCCCTCCTTGGGCATTAAAAAGATCATAAAACTGCTCCCAAACCACAATGATCCACCTTCGGGAATTAAAATTGTTTTTATGATTTTAATTATCAGTAAACTTTACTGCTGTGCAAAAGTCACGAGCAGCTTTTTTTTTTTTTTTTTAATAAATATTTTGCTTCCAAGCTGACTTTTTTCAGAGAAACATTTTGTTTTTTGTTAAGATTCATAACACTGAGTCAAGCATAAAGCACCTAACTTGAGGGATGAATCACTGTTGTGTGTACGTGTAACAGACAACGACAAAGAAAAGTATTTACCCGAAAAGCTATTAACTCAAAATATGGCAAATCTTGTCATGTGCAGTGTGTCCTTAAACAATCTGGGAAAGCTGGAAAAGTGGAGGAATAAAGAAGTTGATCCCTCTGCTGCTCACTGAAAGCTCGTCAGAAATGTTCTCGGTGAGAGTGTATCTGTCGGGAAACTATTCTTAAGGAAAGGAAACGGTGATAAATGTTGAGGTATGAGAAATTACACAGAACTGGACAGAAAATCAGGGGAAACAAGTCTGAAGGAGAGATGAATAAATAATTTGAAATTTCTGTTTTAACCCAATCATTGTCAGGATGTATGGAGGAAGTCAGGAGAGAGGTACAGCAGTGATGGCCTACAGCTATCTTGTGAAACGCGGTGGAGGCTCTGTCATGGTTCAGGGCCCCATTTCAGTCAGTGGTGTTTGGGATCTTGTCAAAATTAATGGAATTATGAATAGAGAACAGTATTGTCCAATGTTGACCCATGATGCAATACCAACTGGAAGGGATCTGATTGGCAGCTGCTTCATTTTTCAGCATGAAATAATTCCAAACCCACTGCCAGTGCAGTGAAAGCACACCTGGATAGAAAAACACTAACTGGAACACTAACAGTCATATAGCGGCCTCTCCAGAGCCCAGACCTCAACATTATTGAAGCAGTGTGGGATCATCTTAACAGAGAACAGAGCAACAGACAGCCAACGTTCAAAGAAGAGCACTGAATATCCTTCAATAAGTCTGGAGAACCGTTCCTGAAGATGACTTCATGAAATGTTGCCTTCAGGTTAAGGCTGCATAAAGGTGGTGAAACCAAATATTGACTTTCAAGCTTGTTAGAATTATACAAACTCTGTTTTTGTCTTATATACTGTATTTCCATGTATGTTTGTAGATGTTTCCATAAATCACTGCACCTTTTTACCATTTCCTCAAAAAAATATAAATAAATGAAGTGTGGCCCAAGACCTTTCCACAGTTTATCAGTTCTACTTGACACTTTGTTTTGGGCTCTTTTTATTTAAAAAATGCCCCTTGTCATTTTCTTCTCACAGTGGAGGGACAGCAAATATGTAAATAATAAAGTGAATAATGGCTGACTTTGATTTACCTGCTTTACTGTCATGACTCAGTGGAACATTTGAAGAGAACAGAACAAATCATTCGTCAGCGTTATTAGTAACACCTAAGCTGCATTCCTACCGCGACGTGTCAGTCTGTGTTTACACGCAGGGTCACTGTCCATTACAGCGTTTGGTCGTGTTGGCTTGTTGAGAAATTCCTTGTAAATAACTTCTATGTTTAAACTGAAGAAAATGTTTATCAATCATCAGCTCGTTGCTCTCAGTATGCGTTGGATTGCAGACAAGTGTGCACCAGCTGAACTCTTAAATCATTGGCATTACTTTGATTAAATACGACATTTCACTAAAGTGTAATTTTAAGGAAGTTGTTCATTGAATAGAAAAGTTATAAAGAATGATCTATTACATGATCTATTTCCTAGTAAGGACAAGGTGTTCACAAGTCAAAAACAAACACCCAAGTTTGATGATTAAACACTTCTTCTTTGGCAAAACGTAATCTGTTTTAAGTATACTCTCATAGGGCTACATGTTATAAGATGGCATCTTTAAATCACAGTCTTTCTCTTGGATAAGTAAGAAAGCCAGTGGACAGCTGGCCCCCTTTAAAAGAAAAATGCCCCAACTGATGCGCACAACAATCACCATTTTCTAAAAATGTAATCCCCTTATTGTTTAGCCTCCATATTCACATGTAAATACTAAAATATGTCCCCTGCCACTGACACGACCTTGGTGTCCTCAGTCATACTCCCCACTTACAAGAGGCCCCTGGAGGCCCCCTGACCCCCCGCTGTGGGACCAATAGAGACACTCCACCTGTGTGCAGTGCGCCTATCCCGTCTGGAAAAAGTTGGCAGCGCAATGGTTACGCTGCGTGCGTCTCAAGGGCAAAAAGAAGCGAGGAAACCGATCACAGCAACAAATGAAGGTCTACCTTTCCAGACCTGCCTGTATCTTCGCTCTGACTGCTCTGCTGTAGTCACGCTGTCTGCCACAGCAGCCGAGGATGTTATTCTAGGTTTATTTATAAGGGGAGTGGGAAAAAAACGGGAAGATGCGCCTGGAGGGGAAACGTCACATTTTCAGTAGGAGCGACGGTGTGGTGAGACTGTGACCGAGCCGGGGAGAGGAATATGCGGCACATACCCTCCGCGCGTCGGGCCAGGGCGTCGGATCTTTTCCGGATTAACGTCCTATAGCTGGATGATGCGATTTCTTTCTTCAGACACACAGGATTTGATGATCGCACCACGTTTAAGCGGGAATCTGTAGCCTGTGTAATCCCCCAGTAACGCCACCCCGGACCCCCCGGACCGGTTTCATGGGAGCCGAACCAAGAGGCGGACTGTGCTCATAATCACTACAGGAAAGCATCACTTTAAAGTTCTTTCAAGTTTCTGGAAAAAGGATAAGGATTTGGCTGCTTTGGTGCCACATTTAACATTATAAGAAAGCCATAGTTTGTGCAGGGAAGGTCATTTCAGTCTACAGTGTCTCACTAATAGAGGATTTAACTGTCATAGAGTTCATATAGAGAACTGAGTCCTAAATCATTCGAGCTAAAATGCGACACAATAAAGTTATTGTTACGACCCTGATGATGCCACCCTGGGAGTCCTTTCAGGGAAGGGAGACTGGAGAGTGAAAGCGGGATATCTGCGCCTTTATTCGGACACGGAGGCGACGCAAGGAGGACAAGCCAGCTTCTTTTTTTGGATTGGTCCAAAAAATATTTTTTGCGTGCCCCTTGGACTCCTGCACAATGGGGATTATGCTACAAGTTATTCTAGGAATGTTTCAATTCCTGCTGCTCACCAGAATACCGACTTCTCACGCCAAGGTATGTATGTATGGATCATTTGACCTACTATATATCTATATATCTATATCTATATCTATATATATTCCTGGTGTGTTGGAGCCTGGTGGGAAGTTGTAACCTTGTGGAAGTTATCCTCTGGGTCAATGACACCTGTCACTTCTGGTCCTGTGGCAGAAAAACACAACGAAACCCTCCGAGATTAAACGTGGCTTTCAGTAATTACTTTAATGTGACATCCGGCTTCATTGTCTCCTCTCACGCCAACATAATTCAGTGATACTTTATATAAAGCATGCTTTCTGGTGAGTGTATTGACTGTTTTGCACACTTTGGCCTGTTAAAGCTAGGTCGATTAATTATAAGCCATTCACAAGGACAGTGATTGAGTTGCCAGGTAGTGGAAAATCCTCCTCCAGCAGCGCAGTTGCTTTGTTTCTGTTAGCTTCATTCATCAAATGAAACCCTTTTGCCTTTAGGGAAGAAAAGATGGAGGACATGTGGACCAGAAAAATCAATTTGTGAGCTCATTATTATTAAAGGAGCCGTGCAATGTGTTGAACTATATGTATCTCCAAGCCCATTAGCTTAACATAAAGACTGGGAACAAAGTGAACAGCTAAGTTACCCCTGCCTACCAGTACTACTATACATTCCTAATTAACGCATCTGATCTCTTTTTGATCTATAGAAATAAATTATACATGATTTTGGCTGGGAGCAAGAATCTCCTGGATTCGTTTATTACCAACTTACAGCAACAAAATAATGAATATTTATAAATAATAACAGATGCCGGTTGCTGGAACTGTGGGTGCGTAGGCTGGGTCAAATGACAGACCTGATCCAATCTAGCCTTTCCAGCGGAAGGCCAAGCTAATGAGGGAGCTCCATGCTTACTGTGCTGACCTGAAGGGCATTAGTAATGTTTTCATACATATAGGCCATTGGCATGTGTGTGTGTGTGTGTGTGTGTGTGTGAATACTGACCCACTCTTAGTTATTTTATCTGTTTATCAATAGATATCAAGGTTAAAGTAATTGCTATTAAAGCAGAGCCTCTCAGCTTTAATTTAAAGAGATATACATCTACATTTCTTGATTCAGGAACTGCTTTATATCCAGATGGATCCTGTTCTTTTCTTACATCATTTCTTATATCTGGATCAATTAAGGAAGTAAAAGTTTTGGTATTTGCTTTTTGACACAACATGTGGTCAAAGGACCTCTCAATGCTAGTAAACCAGGCCATCATTAGGCTGCAAAAACAAAACAATTCCTAAAAAGAGACAGTGGAAACATCTGGAGTGACCAAATCCAAAGCTGATTCTGAGATTTTTCAAAAGAAAAAATTAAAAAGAAGGAACTTGTGAATTTAAATAAACACACACAAGCCTACAGGAGAAAGCAGTAGTGGATGCTCACAGGATCCTTTCCATTGTAAAGGAAATGCCTTCAGAGCATGAAGAAAAGTGCAGAACAGTGTTCAGAAGGAAGGCATGTCTTTATCATCAGTCTACTAAAGACTTCACAAGAGGAAATAAAGAGGGCTCTTTGCAAACAAGCCAGCGCTTCAACAGCACGTGAGAAGAAGATTTGGAGGGGCTCCAAATGATGTGAAGCATGCAACATCTGTCAAACACAGTGGAGGCAGTGTGATGGCATGAACATGCATTGCTTTCAGTGCCAGTGGGTCACTTGTTTTTAGAGATGAGACACAGATGTGACAGTACACAGAAGTCGTTGAATGAATTATGAAGTGTTTAGGGAAATACTGACTGCTCAGATTCAGTGGACAGAGAAACACCCAGCAGTTTGAGGGTTAAAAAAAAAAGTGGAGTCAAACACATCAACAGATCCGACCCTGATTGAACATATATTTAACTTGCTGAAGACAAAAGTAAAGGCAGAAGGAATTACAAAGAGACAGCTGCAAGAGACGAGGGGAGTCACTTAAGCTAGTCGTAATGAGCACTGAAAATATAGCTGCTTGTAAACTTTTTATACAACATTTTTGTTCAACCCTTTGACATAGATATTAAAGTCTGCACTTTAATTAAATCTTAACTAATAAATATACAGTGGTGGCTTGCGGTGCAAAAATTATAATCTCACTATTATCTGTCAAAGTATTTTTTACATCATTAACATAACACCAGTGCATTTCAGATGTCGTCCCAAGTGCTATCTAAAAAAACAAGAATATATTAAAGGGCTTTTTTCAGTCTGAGAGCCTAAAAATGATCAATTTCTTATAGTGTGTGTGAAGTAATAAGAGTCAGGGTTGTGAGGGGGCTGGAGCCTATCCCAGCTGTTATGGGGGAAGAGTTAGTATAGAAATCATTCATAAGAAATTCTCACTGATTGCACTGGCTTGTCCCTCGATGTGGCATATGGGCTCATTTTTCCACCTACACATATAGCAGCTCCTGCCCATGCTGTGTTTTTTTATTTATGTCTGGAGGCTCGTATCAGGAACAGACAGTGCTCTGAAGTGGATCCAACCCTGACTCTGCGGTGCTGCTCTATACTGCATGTTTTACGCGTTCGTCATCCTAGACACTACATGGCGGACACCAGCGTGCACTCGGAGAGCCTCTTCACCTGCTCACAAGGCTCTCCGCCTTCATGCTGTCTGCCTCCCTGACAGCTTATTTAAAAAGGGTCATCCTGCTCCTCCTGCGGTGATGAAGCTCAGTGTGGGAGAGATGGTGGTTAGGTCAAGGGCAGGGCCTTTTTCACACACATACACACACATGGCCCATCTGTACAGTGTGCACAGGGAGTTAGATGTGTTAGACAGACAGGCAGTGCCGGTGCAGATGGCTTTGGGCTGGCACTCAGGAGTGTGTGTGCCAGCTCTGTGCAGATATGGCTGCCAAAGGGAGTTAATCTTAGACTTCTCTCTAAGAATGATACAGAGAGGACACATTTACTTCAGCTCATAGCGCTCACAAAATGGCCCCAGCATAAATCAACACTGTTCAATCAATGTGGGCCTAACCCATGTGTGTATAAGGGGGTGGATCAGTAAAAGGGGGTCAACTGGACAAAGTCTACATTCCCTTTCAAGTGGCCGTGATACAAGTAGAGTGCCATAAAATGCAGGTTCTTCTCATGTGTGTTTATGAGAGGCACAAAAAAATCCTTTACAACATAATAAAAGTACTTCATTAAAAGTGCTTGCTATATTAATCACTTGTTAAGTTGACAGATAAGATCTGATTAGTCTGTTTTGTCAGCACGATTATGTAAAAACAACCAAGCCGAATTACATAAAACCCAACACAAATGGAGGTGGAGCTTGAGCAAAGCAAGAACTCGTGAAAACTTGTCTTCTTTTGCTACACTTTCTTCAAAACTGCAAAATAGTGCATGTGGTTTGGTGGTGAATAGGCTCTATCAGTGCCCTTTTTGCCAGGACCTTTTTTTGTGTTGAAGCTGCTCAGTCCATTAGTTCCCAATCAGCGCCGGGCCCCTTCAAATGCTCATGAGATTAGTCTGAGAGGTCGTGAGATGCATAAATATTTTATCGCTTTGGTCCTCAATCAGGTTTTTGAATGAGTTCATGTGGAACTGATAAAAGTCATGAACATCTGCAGAACCACAATAAGATGCTTATTTATTTATGTCAAACAGGTTGAGAAGCACTGATTTAATATTTAATAACACTTGATATTTTTAGGATATTAATAGAAATTTGTAAGTACTATAAAATTATAACTGCAAAATGAATGGTTGAGATGAGGAAGAAGTACAATATCTGCCTCTGAAAGTAGCAGAGTTAGGCTGCAGGATATAGAGTTCATCAGTCAGATGTTCTAGTGTTTTCACCTCTTGCAAAAATATTTAAATTACATTGCAGTTAAAGCACAGTGTTGAGGTGACAGGTGAGGTCTGAATAGTCTGTTTGTCAGCAACATAACGCAAAAACAACAAAGTCAAAACCCGAGACAGAGAGAGAGGGCATGAAAAAGAGAGGAACTTGTGTTATTTTTTGTGCTCCTTTGCATCGGTTTGCTTAAAAGATGCAAAATAGCACATTGGGTTTGATTCAGGACAGGCTCTGAGTGTAATATAGACACGTAAATTTCCAGAAATGGATATCATGAGGGAATATGAAGAGAACTGGGAGAGGGCAACAAAGTATTTCATTGATATGTAGATCAATGGGTGTCTCCAAAGCTTTGATCAGGTTTTAGCATCTCCATCATCCAGGTAAAAAATATGGGTGAAATTTGATCATAAACATAAAACTTGCAGCCAAACACACCAAGAGACCTCACCCACACAGAAACTGCTCTCTAACAGAGGAGAGACACAACTCGTACCCTCCTTCAAAGGTATCTCTGTATCAAAGTTCAGCGGTTTCGCTTTCTTCCTGTTATTTCCCTCCACGCTTTATTGAGCTTGTCACGCTCAAACTCCAGGTGTGAAATATTGTGGTGTTCATTAACGGGAAATACTTTGATCTGTTGATCTGCACCAGCACACTTTTACAACAGTGTCAAGCAAGAAGTTGCAGATAACAGCTGGAGAGTCAAATAAACGCCGTTTAGTTGATCAGTAACAGCCAATATGTGTTTTTTATCTTGGTGGACAAATTTGGGAGATAAATTTCACATTAAGTCTGATGTAATAGATAAAATGTGAACTTAAGCAATCCATGAACTTGTTTTTTAGGTTGACATAATTACATATAGCTCAGATTCACCCTGTAGATTAAAGGTTATAAGTTGATATTTTGGTATTTTATCCTACCAGCTGTATACAAATGAGTTGATTTAGTGTCTTTTAAACTGATTACTTTTCTATTTTATTTGAAACTGGAATGAAACCACTCATTGTACGACTGAGTTTGTTGCTACCTCTCTCCAGCTTGCTCACTGGCGCCCTGCCGACTCCCCCAAATCCAGAGAAGGTCGAGAAGGTATGTTTATGTTTCTACATAAACTCACGCGTCACGGAGGTGAAAGAGTAAAACAAATAAAACACACTGTTTGTCCTTGTCTCTCCACAAGTGCGACGGTGGTTGGAGGTGTACTCGCGGAGTGGCTGCGAGCCCCGAGACACTCTGGTGGAGGTTTGGCGGGAGTTTCCAGGTGAGACCCACAGCCTCTTCATCCCATCTTGTGTGTCGGTGAGGCGATGTGGCGGCTGCTGTGCTGACGAGGCTTTCGAGTGTGTACCCACGCTCACACGCACAGTTACCATGGAGGTACACACGCACACGCACACACACATACAGGAAGTCTGCTCAGATGATAAATACGCACTTACTTTCTTCTGACCTGTGTGCAGCTGATGAGGACGTCCTTTATGAAGCACGAGCTCACTGAGCTGCCCTTCGTCGAGCACAGCCAATGTGATTGCAGGTAATAAAAAAACACCCATCTGAGGTTCAGGCGCATACTGGATAATGCTGCTCCACTGACCTTTCATACAATTTTACAATGGCAATTTTTAAATCTGTGTGCAGGTTAAAGGAACACCTCCAGCCAACACCTACATCAAGGTAAAGAACTCCAATCTTTATCTCTGTGTTTCTGGATTTTATTCTGAGCTCTTCTGCTCATGATAACATCAAACCTGGTCTTTCAGCCCATGTCCAGGCTCTGCACTGATGACATACTTAAAATTCTGCTGATTATCTTAATAATGAGTAGCCGGTAGCCGGACTGGTATTTCAATTAGAAGGAAAAGACTTCTTGATTAAATCCAAGTAGCTATAGGCTACTGAACAGTCTTTAAAAGAAGTGCTCAGCTCTTTACCTGAAAACTTCTACTTGCTACAAAATTGCAGAAAAATATCTCGCCTGTGCTACGCAACAAATGTCCTTATTCACCTCATTAATGTCCTCGAAACGCCAGTGTTTGCTTTCAAAGTAACAGTTATAAATGGCAAAGAATGAACATGTTGCTCAAGAATTCAAAGAGCACGTCACATGAGACCCCGGACTGGGTTAATCCAGTTTAAGAGCACTGACATAGTCGCTCACACCTATAGCTGCTGGAAGCACCCTGACCGGGCTACATTAACTCATTAACTCCAGATTTTTGGGCCTCACTTCACAATTGTGTCCAGAGGCATGCTGGTCAGGAAGGCTCATTTGTCTCCCACTAAGCACCAGACATCCATGACTGATGTTTTTTAGGATGAATGTGGTTGAGCACAATCATTTAAAAAAACAAAACAAAACAAAACATTCTTTTATGCCTAAATTTGGTTGAATAGTGAAAGATGAAATGTGTTTTTAGGCTCCTACAAAGCCTGGAATTTAACCCCATTTCAACCATGAACTCATGTTTACTCACTGAGTAATTTTCCACAGAATAGTGGTCTTAAAAAGCTGTCTGAATGGAACATTGCCATCAAGGCTGAAATTGAATTAAAATGTGATTTGTGTCTGTTTTTTTTTGTTTTGTTTTGTTTTCTAAATTCAAAACCTCACTGATTTTTGTTTTGGTGGTGAAATGTTGTGCTGCAATACCCGTGCAACATGCACTCCAGAAATGAGTAATTAAAAAGTTACTTTTAAAGCATTACAAAAGGCTTAAAAGGCATAATACATGCAAATGAAAATAATTTAAAGCTAAAAATGTTAACTGTTCATTAAATTAATTTGAAAAATGAATGTAATTTAAGTTAAACATGATTGATGAATTAACTTTTTAAAAGTTAATTAGAAAGTTTTTAATTGTTTATGAATTTTAAAAACGTTTGTGTATCAGTTTAGAGGTAAGTTTTACGGTGACACCATAATAAAAAAAGAAGAAGGAAATCAAATTAAGATGAAAATGTAATAGGTATAAAATCTATCATTTTAGAAAGAGTAAATAAACCTCTTACAGTTATTTGGAAGGTGGAAAAAATGTAGTTAATATAAAAAATCTGTGACTTTGTTTTTGTA